GATGAGGAGGGACAGGATGATGAGAAACACCTCATGATGAGAAGGATGAGGAGGAGGAAAATGATGAGGAGAAGGATGATGATGTTCATGGGGAGGAGGCGGATAAGGAGAAGCACAAACCTCATGATGAGAAGGATGAGGGCGAGGCAACTCATGAGGATAATGATGATGATGGTGCTGCTGGTGGTGGTGGTGTGTGTGTGTGTGTGTGTGTGCGCGTGTGCGTGCGTGTGTGCGTGTGCGTGTGCGTGTGCGTGTGCGTGTGCGTGTGTGTGTGCGTCGGCAGCTGTGCGCGCGCGTGCGCGGGGGGGGGGGGGGGGGGGGGGGGGGGGAAGTGGATGGGCAGCGCCCCAACGCGCCCCCGAATGCCATGCTACGGCGCTGCCGTTCTTCAGGGTACCCTCCAGGTCTCACGGATGAGACCCCCACTTGCATCGAAACTGCATCCAGCCCGAAGTTGGGGGAACGATATGCAGACCTCCAGCCGACGGATCGCGTTGCCATGCTGAACTTAGAGAAAACACTGAAGGGGGCTGTTCTTGATATTGTGCGTGATAAGCTTGCATTTTGGAAGGAGCTCCCGCGTGATATCCACACTGGGGGCGGCAGCACGTTGATTGACGTTGCTCGGGGTATATGCAAAAAATGCGTCGATGACATAGATGCTGCAATACGTGATGGGCGCAACCTAAGTGGGCTTCGAGTGCCACTGCGTCTCTTTGTGTTTGGTGGTACTATTTCGTCTCAATGTCGGGCCTTTGCCAACGGTGATTCGTTGGGCGTGGAGGCTCAAGTTGAGTTGCGGCGGTATTCGTTGATTCCCATCGTAAGTCGTAGGGCGGAGGGCATGCATGCTGAAGTTAGCAGGCAGATTCGCAGGAACACCAACATTCATCCGAATACGATCTGCGTGGCCAATCGTGCGTCGGAGGGAGAAGCCCTACTTCGAGCCCCTCGGTCTGACTTTCGGACATGGGCTGTCCGCCAGCGGCGCAGGTGGCCGACCTCTCGCTTGCGCAAGCTGCTGACGTTGATCACGCCAGATTCTGCAAAGTGGGTCGGGGCAAACGTCGCCACTGCCTCGCTGCCCGGGTGGCCTGCGTAGCCTGCGGGCTACGGGCCGTGGATGAGAGAGGGGATATGATCGGGGGAAGAGGAGCAGGATGATGAGGACGAGGAGGAGGAGGAGGAGGAGGAGGAGGAGGTGAATGACGACGAGCAGGTGGAGGAGGAATGACGACGAATCCAGGGACGTAAGTTCACGCCATCTCGGAGGCCCCATTGGGCCTATCGCGATGTCCTGATGGAGCCCTGCGGGGGGCTTCCATATGCCCCCCCTCCTTGGGGCCCAATGGTTTCGCTCGGCGCCTGCTTTGAAACTTGCTTTGTTGTTTTGGTGGTGCCATCAATGGCGCGAGACAGCCCCCCCCCCCATCCCGCCCGAAGGTGGCTCTTGCACAGGACGCCGCACAAGGACTTGGCCAAGCGGTTCCACATCGCGGATGCGGACGCCCAGTTCCGCAGCCCGCGCCGTCCAAAGGCGGGGCGGTACGGACCTTATATCCCTCTTCCTTCCTCTCTTGCCTCCTCTCCCCGCACCCCCAGGTTCATTTCCTTAGATCTTCCTCCGCTTCCTCCGCCCTCCTCCATCATCATCCGACCCCCCCTTCCCCCTCCTCCTCCACAGCTTCCCCTTCATCCTCCTCCTCATCCTCCTCCTCCTCCTTCCCCTGCCCCCCCCCCCCCCCTCCTCCCCCTCGTTATCCTGGCCACCCTTGCTCCTTGAACCTGCGTCGTTGTGTTGTTGTGGCCCTTGCGAGGCGGACTCCAAGCAGTGGAAGGCCTTTGTCGCGTCTGCGGACCAGGTGATCAATTGGCCCGAATCCTTAGTGCATGGTTCGAACTTGGTGAAGGCTCGTCTGTTGGATGGAGGTGCGGATGCGGTGCGGTCGATACCAATTGAGTTACTGCGGGACGTGTCAGTGAGCGACGCCGTAGCGAACCCTGACTTGGCGCAGTTCCGCCCGCCCCGCAGGTTGTTGGAAGCGCTCGTCGCTTGCAAGAACGACGCCCCGTTGCCAGGTCACTTCGAGAATAGCATGTTCTTTCAAGTCCTGAGCGTTGATGCACGCCGCCACGTTGTGTCAGCATCACATCTTTCCTATCATGGCCATCCCGTTTCCATATGTCCGATGGAAGTCGCGCGGCTGGGCGGCGACAACGCAAGTGTCACGTTGCGCCCGGGCACAGGTCAGCGCCGCACTATCTTCTTGCATGAGTTGTGGAAGCCAGAGGTCGCGCGGCACTTGCTACGGTGGCACTGCGACACCACCGTGTTGGATGCGACCGTGGCCCCGTCTGTTCGGCACATTTTGGAGTTATCCGACGCGGCGTCCAACAGGTATGGCGGCACAACCATCGGTTCTAACGTTGCGGCGGCTCGTGATCATATGATTAAAACCCGTGTCGATCGACGTGCCATCATTGGCGCCAGCGGCGGCGCCCGCTTCTTGTCATTTGATGATTTGGCTTCGGCAGATGATTCTCTGTTTGCGGCCGACGGCCTGAGAGATTTAGTGGGGCACGGCGTTGTGGTTGAAGATGTCGATGAATTCGGTTCCAGTTCGTGCGCTGTGGATCCCAGCAAAGTGTCGTGGGCCTTCCAGGTCACGTGCAATTTCCCTGTAAACATCCTGTCGCCTGGGACCATGGGGGAGTCCGCGTCCAAGTTGGATCCCGCCCTCGGTTTGCACGACCTCGGGCGGGCGCGCCAGCTCAGACCAGCTGCGGCAGCAACGCTCGAGAATCCTGCGTTCTCCACAGCTATGTTGCAACGGTCGCTAGATACTTGAAATCGCTCACATCTCACGCCCCACCTCAAACCGCAGAAGGAGTTGGATAGGGGGGGGCGGAGGGAAGGAGGAGGGAAGGAGGAGGAAAGAGGAGGCAGAGGGAGGGAGAGGGGGTAGGACAAGGGGGGGGGGGCCGCAGGAGGAGGAGCCCGCCGCCGACCCGCCCGGGCGTTCCCAGGTCGAAGTATTATTTCTTGGCGCTCCACGACATCGACCGCTTGATCCACCATGAAGGTCTACCAGATGTTCGGCATGCAATGCCAGAGCATTACTACAGGTGCTTGCTCGAGATGGAGAGGCCGTTGGCCCTCTTGGATATGCCAGGCCTCCAGTTCTTCCCTTCCCCCCGCCCCAGGAGAAAGAGAACTCCTCCTCCTCCTCCTCCTCCTCCTCCTCCTCCTCCTCTTCCTGTTTCTTATTAGTATTCCTCCTCCTCATCGTACTCATTCTCCTCCGTCCTCCTCTGCCTCCTTCTTCATTCCCCTCCTCTTTTGCCCCCTCCTCCACCTCCTCCTCCTCCTCATCCTCCTCCTCCCCCTCCTCCTCCTCCTCCTCCTCCCTGGGGGCAGCTTCGGCGGAGCGCGAAGCTCGAAGTAGTGGGGCATTCGTGGCTGGCGCCCACCTCCACGCGCGCAGGAGCGCGGTCGTGAAAAAACGTCCACCCGAAACCCAGATCCCCCCTCCTGTTCAAAGTTGTCCAAGCCCCTCCATCCTCCTCGTCCTCCTCCTCCTCCTTCTCCTCCTCCTTCTCTCCCCGCCCTCCCGCTCCTCGTCCTCGGAACTTTCCTCCTCCTCCTCCTCCTCCTCCTCCTTTCCCCCCTGGACCCACCGCCGTCATTTCCAGGCTGGGAAGCATTTTCTGACAAGGACTTCAAGAAAGTCCTCCAGGGCCAGGGCGTTCCCGCGGCGCTTGCCATCGAGGATGAGGAGGGCGGGGGCGGCGGTGACGCCATCGATGATGAGATGGTTGCTGCAGGGGTGGTAGCTGGCCCCCCTGTACCCCCGCCACCGTTGCCGCCGTTTGCTGACGTGGCGGCGGTCGCCGCCCCCGACGTGCACGCCGTTCCGCTCGCTCACGTGGTCAGGATTGGCGCCTGTCAGGTCCACTTCGATGGGTTCAGCCATGCGTCGGGGCACCAGCGGGCATTTATTAAGTGTACGAATGCCAACCATCCTGCTTGCTTCAGATATCGGCAGGTTCGTGCTTTTGAGACCAAGCGTCATTGTATTGCATATCTTCTCGCGTGGCAAGATGCCTCGCACGTCGTCGGTGACGACAAGGCGTTTCACAAAGGTTTCGAGCCTACGGCGGCTACCTGTGCCGCGATGCTGGCTAATGTCCCTGCCAATGTCTAGCCGAGACACGTCCTCAGACATGTGATGTTGTCAGTGCGTGTATGATGGCCGTTATCGCCACCTCCTACCCCTCCCCTCCATGCCCTGATATACGTGCGCATGCTATGGGCATGCTGTCGATCAACATGCGAGCTCTTGGAACCCTGCCCCCCATGCCCTGTTAATGATACCCTCCATCTTCCTGGTTAGCCTCACCCAACCTAAACACAAGCGTGCACAAACTCATATGATGATTATCTTTGTACATCCGCTTTTGCACATCCATTTGGGGGGGTGATTCTCGAGGGCTCGGGGGTCCATCAGGGTAGGTGGTGGGACTGAGGTGCGACCGAAGTGCGACTGAGGTGCGACTGAGGTGCGACTCAGGGGGTGGATCACCAGGATACCCCCTTGGGACTGGGAGAGTCACAGGGTGGGGGCCCAGGACTGAGGTGCGACTCAGGTGCGACTCAGGTGCGACCCAGGTGCGACTCGCCCGGCTGGTGGACTCTGGGACTCAGGGGGCACCCAAGGCGACCTCAAAGGCCTTTGGCATCACCTTCGCCCTCCCTCTTCGCCCCCCGCAGCCTCCTTCTCAGCCTGCTCTGCCTTCGTCAGACCCCTCCTCATCCCTCGCTCCCGCTGTGGAGCTCCTCTCCTCTCCTCCTCCTTACTCCCCCTTCTCCCTACTAAAGTCGTTCACGCTAGTGGGATGCCCCGAATCTGCTCCCATCGTTTTTCACAGGGCCCGAGGGCTCGAGTGCCCCGCAGAAAGACGCCCAAGTGGATCCATACTTCCACCTACATAGCGGTATGGCGGCGGCGGCCGCGGCCTTGATCGCGCGCATGCTGCGCGAGTGCGTCTCCCCCAGCATCTTGGACATCTTGGGCTTCCGCGCGCAGGACCTGGAGGCTGACATCACGAGCGCCACTCGCGAGAACGACTTCGGCGATTTTTTTTGTGGCGAGGGCGGCGTCTACTCGGTGCCTCACCTCTTTCCCCACCACGCGTGCTTCCTCACCTGCCTCCCCCTTCTCCTCAGGCGTGCAGGGCCAGGAACCTCAAGGGGTTTAAGATGGACAAGCTCCACGGCTCGTGCCACGACCTGCTCACCAACATCGGCATGGCAAACGCCACCAGGGGGGTGTTGTCTATCAAAGAGGGTGGCATGATCGGCGGCGGACCACCTTGCAGTTTGTTCGTCTTCATGAGCTCATCTTACCACAAGCGCACGAAAGTCACCCCCCTCGGAGATGAGTCGAAGTCTCAGGTCCTCCAGGCAAACTACATAGCTGCGTTCTGGGTGTTCCTCCTGACAATCGCTAGCATTCGCCGCGTGTGGTGGTGGACTGAGCAACCTGGGACGAGCAAGATGTTCAACTTGCCATGCTGGGAAAAATTTCAAGACATGTTGGATCATCTACATGCGTACCGTTTCATCAACTTCTGGATGGGGAACTGGGGCCATGACATCCCGAAGCCGACAATCATAGTTACGAACTGCCTCGCCCTGAATTCCCTGGTGCTGGCCAACGCGGGTGAGAAGCCGCAGAAGTCCATTGGGTGTGAAACCAACCGAAAAGAGGGCCCAGCAAGGAACATGGGGGTTCATATTTCGACAAGGCGGCGCCAGGAGCAAGGGCCCCCGGGGGGCCGATTGTATCCCCGCTGAGAAAGGGCGATCGATTGGGGCCCGCTATGAGGGGAGGCCCAGGGGGGTGGACTCGGTTCCCGCTGAGGGGGGGGGGGGGGGAGGGTCGCGTAGATTCTCGCTGAGAGGGGGTCTGATTCGATTCCACCGAGACGATGGGTGGAGGATGAGGAGGAGGAGGAAGAGATGTAGCAGCGGGAAGGGGAGAAGGAGGTGGAGGAGGAGGAAGAGGAGGAGGAGGAGGAGGAGGAGGAGAAGGAGGAGGAGGAAGGGGAAGGTGGGGGAGAAGGAGCAGGAAGGGGTTGAATGATGATGAGAGGGAGGTAGCGGGGGGGCGGATGTGAGGATGAGCAGGAGGAAGCGACGTGGCGAGGAGGGAGGTGAACAAGAGGAAGGGCAGGACGAAGGAGGCTGAGGAGGACGGAGCACGCGCGTTGTTCCAACCCGCCCCCAGGTCCACCATGACCGACTACTACAAGACGACCTACACAGACGGCAAGAAGCGCGTGTCTGGCAACAAGAAGGCGTTGAAGGCCAGCGCTGCGTACCCCGAGGGCTTCTGCCAGGAGCCCATCCTCATCGGCCTCCCTCCTTTTCCCACATATCCTCCTCCTCCTGTTCCCCCCCATTCTGTTGCTCCTCCTCCTCCTTCTCCTCCTCCTCCTCCTCCTCCTCCTCCCCCTCTTCCCTATTATCGTGCCCCTTCCTCGGACGGCGCTCGGAAACGTCTTGGCCATCTTGAGCTCGAGGAATCGTTGGGGCATGTCGGGGACTATCTTGAGCCGTTTCAAGGTATGAGCAGAAAAAAGGGTCGGATGGGAACTGGGGTGCAGGGGTCGTTGTCGTCGTTCTCCTCCTCCTCCGTATCCCCCTCTTCCTCGTCCTCCTCCTTCTTCTCCTTTTTCCTTCTCCTCCTCCTGCTCCCTCTCTCCTCTTCCTGCCCAGGGGCCCTGGGGGGCCCCGGCCCCAGCAGCATGGCGCCCAAGCTTCAATTGGGGCCCTCAGTAGGGCAAGGGTGGATACAGTGAGACTCGTTACATCGAAGGTATCCAAGCGCCCCCCCCCCCAGGAGATTGCGAGGGTGATTGAGGTCCAGCGCCAGCGTGTCCTTCAGAAGAGCTGTGCTGGCATGCCAGACGCCTCTGACGCCAAGATCGGTTCCCTGGTGATTTCTGACATGCGCGTGGACCACTTCGCATTCGGTGAGACTTCGCTCGTGGCCCAGCTGGCGAGGACCCCCGATGCAGAGGGGGATAGGGTGAGGGGGCTTCAGCCGCATCCTGATGATGTGCCTGATGCTGAGTTTGTGGACGATGACAGCGACAATTTCGACGGCTTCGACGGCTACGACGGCGGCAACGGCAACGCGGTGGACGGCCCCAATTCCAAGAAGCGCCCATTCGCCATCGCCGTCGACGAGGACAGTGGCATGTTGAGCTCGCTTGTGCGGGAGGCGAACAAGAAGAACATCATCGTCGACAAGGCTGTGGCTGAGGCGGCGGCCTCGCAGGAGGACCACCGCGTCCCAGAAGCTCAGCCCAGCGCAGCGCAAGGGCCTTCGCTTGCGGGAGGATGCTTGAAACGTGCTACACTCGCTTGTTCTATTCTGGAGTGCCCAAGGGTCCCCTGCGCTATGCTCTCTTGTTTTCTGACAGGGGGGAGTTTCCCAGGGGTGCCCAGGAGTGTCCCAGGGGTGCCCAGGAGTGCCCAGGAGTGCTTGTCGGGGCGTTGGGCAAGGAGGAGTTGGAAAGGAGGAGTTGGAAAGGAGGGTCTCTGTTGGGCATTCCACGTCGTGCCAAGGACTCCCAAGGAGGATGCAGGAGGAGGCTGGGTTCTCTTGGCATGCCCCCCCCCCCCCCCGCCTGGAGCCCCCGTTGGGAGGAATGGGTGGGGTGGGGGGGGGGGGGAGGAATGGGGAGGTCGTTTGGCCCCCATGTTCTGCGTGCTAAACTTTGTGGCCCAAGTTGAGGGAGGGCACCGCCGCCCCCTCCATCCCTTTGACTGTGCGGCGCTTGGGGGCAAAATGGCAAGGGGATCTCGGCATTGCACTCGCGTGGCCCGCATCCGTTCCTCGAGCGAGTCAGGTACCCCGTCTGAAGAGATCATGGCCATCTTGGGTTACGACACCAGGGTTCCTGGGATTCCCCAAATTTCAAGGCTACTACGCCCCATCTTCGGTGTTTGGATGCTTCGGGACTTCGTAGTCTGAGTTTCCACTCTCCCAGGTTCGCCTGTATGCCGACGGTCTGAGGGCTCTTGCAAATACGTACAAAGCTATGACCTACAACTATTTGGATCGCATCATCCGCTATAACCTCTGTCAGCGGGAGCAGGGTTGGGTTCACTAGAACGCACTTTCCATTTCGGCAACCCGTTTGGGTTTTACCCAGATTCGTTGAACATCCAATGGGTCCTCGGGAATGAAACCCCCAGGGGGCACGGTTTGAATCAAGCGCCGCATTCAAATTTCTCGAAGGAGTTGCGTTTGATCCGTGAGCCCAGGGCGCGGCGCGGCGAATATACTCACTATTGGTTGCGCTCTCTGGGGCATTGCGTGAACCCGTGGATTTACGAGACTGTCTGAGGACCGTTTGCGGGCCATGCGGGGTTCAACGCAAGAGATGCAAAGCAGTGCAACGTTATGATTGTTACGAATTGGGCAATGATCCCTTCGTCCCCTTTCCTCACCCCCTTACGCGCGCTTGCCTGCAGGACATCACCGAGGTGAACTCGCAGCAGTACTAGGGTGGCACGATGACCCACCTGGGCCCGGGCGGCAAGGGGCTGCGCCGCGGCCGCGGCGCTCTCTCGGGCCGAACCTCGAACCGTATTCGAGACGGCCGCGGGAGATTTCAATATTTGTGCTTGGACAAGTGGTGCCTGGTTCCGCTCCAGCCGACATATCCTCCCCATCCTGTCCGAAACCGATATTGCCGATCGCGGCAATGCTGGGGTCCGTAGAGAAAAAATCAGAGGGTCCGAAGGAAGCCGCCCACCACCCCGCATGAAATACACCCTCTCCGTCCGCACGATGGGCGTTGCAATTCCGTGTCTGGGTCTGGCCAACGCCGTGCTTCTCCTTCCTCCTCCTCCTCCTCCTCTTGCTCTTGCTCCGCGCCCTGCACTTGCCCCCCTACCCCCCATCGCTTCTTGCCCTCTCCTCCCTCTCGCCCCTCTCCCCCCCCCCCTCTTACCCCCCCCTATCTCCCCCCCGTCGCCCTCCCACCCCACCCGCTTGACAAGCAACGAACGCGAGATGAGTTGCCGTATCTGCGAGGGCTGGCTCCGCGTGATGTGACCTCGGCAATTTCGTGGATCTGTCGAGGAGGAGCAGCAGGGGGCGGGATGGGGGGCAAGGATGACGAGACCGATGAGGGGGGGGAGAAGGAGGAGGAGGAGGGGGAGGAGAAGCGGGAAGAGGAGGATGAGGATGAGAAGAAGGATCAAGGTTGCGAGGATGATGTTCGGAACCACCGACGGTCTGCATGCCGAGCGAGGTCGCAGCGCGGCGTGTCTCATCTGAGACCGCCGACGGGCGGGATGATACGAACCAATGCGGCGCCCGGTTCCCCCCTCGAGTTAGCGAAGACGGACGGGAAGGAGGCGGAGGAGGGAGGGGGAGGTGGAGGAGGAGAAGGAGGAGGATGGGGAGCAGGAGGAGGAAGGAGGAGGGGGCCCCGCTTCGAGATGGGCGCGGTTAGGCCCTCCCCGCCATGAGGGTGCGTCGATGAGATCCCCCCCGCTGAGGCGGGATTCGATTCGGCCCCCGCTGACGGGGGAGGCCACGGGCCACCAGGTCTATGAGGCCCCCGCTGAGAGGGAGAGGAGGGGGAGGATGAGGAGGAAAACGAGGAGGAGGAGGAGGAGGAGCAAGAGCAGGCACAAGAGCAGGAGCAGGAGGAAGAGGATTTGTAGATCCTGTCCTCCTCCTCCTCCTCCTCGCTCTCCTCTTCCTCTTCCTTGGCCTCCTCCTCCTCGTCCTCCTCCTCCCTCCTCCCCCCCTCTCATCCTTCTCCTCCTGTTCCGCCTCCATCCCGCCTCCCCCTTCCACTGTTGTTTAGGCGATGTTCTCGGGCGGAGCCCCTGGGCTGCGTCGGACAGCGCTGCCCTCCTGTCGTGGGCCTCTCGTGGGGCCCCGAAGCCCGCAGCGAACTGCAAGCGCCTCGGCGCCGCCCAACGGCTGGTTCTGGATATGACGTGCCCGGGCGCCCCCCTGCCACATGATGTCGATCTGGACGCTTAGGTTCTGAAGGTTTGCCGCGTCTGTCATTGCGGTGCTCCACGTGCGTCTCCAAGGCCAAGTCGGCACTATGGCTGGCTTGGACGAGGTGGCTGGCGCTCTCGTGGATGATTCCATGGACGGCAGTTCAACGAGAGACGGTGGTGGTGATGAGACGTATCAGTGCGAGAAGTGTTCTGAGGACGTTACGTATGAGGATTTGTTGGGAGGTTCGCTCGGTAAGTGTGGGAAGAAGCAGATGACGAAGCCTAACTGTGCTGAGTGCATCGCCAACTACAAGGCCATTGCAAAACAAGTGGCAAAAGGATATGTCTCTCAAGAAATAGTGGCAAGCGAAATCTAGCAATGATAAGGTTGAGTGGTACCGCCAGAAAAAAAGCTGAGAACAAAGGTCGTCAGGCGAGCCGTGGAGCGAAGCGCAATCTCGGAGAAGTATCGGTGGTCCAGACGCACAGGACAGTTAAGGGTTCTGAGAAGCGCGCCCGCATTCATTGGCAGCCTTGGAGCGTCTTCCTCGCTGAAGGCTTGAAGAAAGGCCAGAAAGCCGAGCAACTTGTTGCCGAGTGGAGGCTGAAGCTCATGGACAGTAGTTACGTGAAGAAGGCTATCAAGGGACACGTGTGTTTGGGTATCTTTCTTGGAATGTTCGAGGACGATGTCGAG